GGAAGGAGGGGGAGGGGGGCAGCCGGCGGCGGCAGAAGCACCAGCTGGAGGAAGACATCCACCAGCTCCAGGCCAGACTCATCGCTAATGGAGAGAGGCATGATGAGGAGGTGACGCAGCTGAGAGGACAACTCGACAAATTGATCCGAGACCAGAGCAGAGAGGGTGCCAACATGGAGTACCTGAAGAATGTCATTTACAAGTTCCTGACGCTGCAGGATGGCAGTGGGAGGCAGCAGACCCTCACTGCCATCCTCACCATCCTGCACTTCAGCCCACAGGAGAAACAGCATGTCATGAGGCTGCAGGGTGCGGCGTGGTGGACCAACACCAAGAGGTGAATACACATAATAAAGAAATGGCATGTCATGAGGCTGAAATAATATTCAGAAATAAACGTGTTCTCTTTGTAAACCTGTAAAAATCCTTTGCAGAAGAAATGAACAGCCATGAATAACAGCTGAAATTTTAAATTGCATTTTGTTACAGTGACGTCACACAGACGAAACAAGTGTTTTAAAGCTGTAAACCGACACTGATGTTACAGCTGCACACAAATATATAAGTTACAAGTACAAATGTGGCTGAAATCTGTGCTTGTCAATTTTGTTTGCTTGTCTTTTTTCTGTTTTCACCCCTCTACTCCACACCTGTATTAAATGATCCCAAACATCTCAATTAGAATTTTTAGGGGTAGAAATTACTGTTACTATCATTTACTATATTTAGATTTTCATGAAAACCTTTGAGTGACATCTCTGTTTATAGTTTCTGTACGCATCTCATTTACACACACTGATTTATATCTGCACAGATTCAGAGATCTACGAAGGGCATGCACACACAAAGGCTTTAAATTACTTTTTTCTTATTTTACAAACTGAATTTCATTGACCCATATTTGATTGGTGATGCTTCTCAGCTGACAAAAACAGACTCTTACAGGATATTTGGGCATGAGGGTGTGTATATGACTATTTAAATTTGTATGATTATATGACAGTCACTGTGAGTAAAACATAGGAAAAAAAACTTTGGGTTATGTAGTTCTTCATTTCATTGATATGTATATTTTTGATTCTCTTGATGAAATAAAAATATTTTTCCTGTTTCACAAACTTGTTTGGTTCATTCTGATGTTCTGTATTTAGTTAAGTGTTAATTAATTTGAGGGTTTTCCACAATGTTTTCAAGTGGAGGCAACTAAATACTATAGGTGGATTCAGACAGGACCTAGAGTAATTCTTCTGGGAAGTGCTCAGACTATTGGGAGAATGTGAGCAGAAGCTGACCTGCATACTCGCTATGTCAAAGTCACTTTAGCATTTTTCTGCCCAATAGTGAAGATGAGGCTTGGCAGTGAGGACAGTTATTTTATAGCCAATTTACATCACTTTGTCTTTGTGCCTGTTTGTGTGTTGGGTTACCTTTCTTTTTCCCCTCACCACAATTCTAACTTTTGTGTTTTTAATGGTGAATATCAGAATCAATTTTATTGGCCAGGTGTGTTGGGCACACAAGGAGTTTGACTCTGGTACAGTGGCTCTCAGTGTGTATGGATATTGTTCTTCGTAAGGCAATGAGTAGAGATCAAGAGATCAAAGATTTTTATTGTTAATTCACTATATGTGCAGGACATACAGAAAAATGGAAATACTGTTTCTCATCTAATGTTGAATGCCCATACCATTTAAGAAACTAAAATAGAATAAAAGGATACATAGAATATGAAAACTGAATTCAAGTAATAAGAAACTAAATGGTACAACCTAATAGGTTATGAAGAAACTCAAAGCTATGTGCAAACAGTGACAGTAATACAAATAATAACGAAGATTGTCAGGTGGCCAGCATCACCAGGAGCATTGGTGATGAGGTGCATAATATCTTATGAAATGTACATGAACAGCAGTACAAATAACCAACAGCAGCAGATGTGATGTAAAAAAACAGTCAGCAGCAGATTTACAAATAATGGTTGTGAACAGTGTTCAGCATCCTCACAGCCTGGTGGATGAAGCTGTTTGTAAGTCTGGTGGAGTGGGCCTGAAGACTCCAATACCTTCTCCCTGAAGGCAGGAGTTTGAAGTGGGAGTGTGAGGGGTGGGAGGTGTCATCAGCAATGCTGATGGCTCTGCAGGTGAGGCAGGTGTTGAAGATGTCTGTAAGGGAAGGCAGAGGGGCACCAATGATCTTGCTGGCTGTTTTCACTATGCATTGCAGGGTCCTTCTGCAGGAGGCAGTACAGGCTCCATACCACACAGTGATGCAGCCAGTGATGATACTCTCAATGGTGCCCCGGTAGAAGGAGCGCATGATGGGGGTGGGACACTGGCTCTCCTCAGTTTGCAGAGGAAATTGAGTAGTGCTTCTTGAGTGTGAGCTTTCTTGGCCAGTGATGTGGTGTTGTTGGTCCAGGAGAGGTCCTCAGAGATGTGCACCCCCAGGTTAACTTGGTACTGCTCACTCTCTTTTTTTTTGAGGTGATCACATTTGGAGTTGTTTCAATATATGAGCACTACTTGTATGAAATTTTAAATATCCTCCGATTAGCTATATTCACCGCCCTACCCCCACCTTCCACTCACAGGTATGAAAATTAGCCATGTGACACTGTCGGATGTCAACAGGAAGTGCAGGGTGAAGTGAAAACAGCTCAACCTCTCACTCTAAGGTGGCATATCTGAAACATATTAAAGCTTCAAACACTGCTGGAGGTTTTTAGGTGGAGATATTCACTCTGTAATTGACTACCATAAACCTGCGACCGGAGTTGCCCACAGACTTCCCTCTTACATGTCATTAATTCAGGACAAGACCCCAATTCCTCCCAAAATAATACCAACCTGCAGTTATAGGCCGCTCCCTCCTTATACATTCAGATGTTACTCTACTGAGAAACCTTTAGAAGCCAATCTACTTTGGTTTGGTCTGAACTAAACCCTAAAAGCTGTTACATTGGCCACATATAACCATTTAGCTGACATTTAACATCCTAGAAATAGACACTCACTTTATAGTATATAAGTAGATAATTGACTCATTTATCTAATGTATATTCTAATACAATTCTGTTTGAAAGTTGAGACAATAATCAGATTCTAATAATCAGTCATCAATACTTCACTCTGAGGTTAACCACATTTTATAATCATTCTTATTTAATAATTATCTTAACTTCTTACTCTATGCTTTAGCTTTTGTGTCTTAATCATTTTCTCCCTTTTCCAACTCCTCTTGCCATTTTTCCCTTCCTCATGAAGGTCCAGCTCTGCCTCCCGCTACCACACATATCCACCATCACATATTCTGCATTCTCCTCCATTCCTTCCCTTCCGTCTTCCCAGAGGCCTGCTGGTTCTTCTTCCATGTTTTACAGCTTTGCTGATAAACAGGACGGCATGTGCATTATTTTTTTTTTATATTTCACCAGGCAAACTATCACGGGTGCTTCCTCTGATGCTGATATTTTTCATTCCAGCATTATTGTCTCTCGGTGAATGTGGAAGCACTTGGCTGAGTAACGTTATTCAAACCACCTTTCTTTCATTTAAAGCGTTAAAAATCACATTACACCGTGAGACCGACAGGTGGCAGTACTCCAAATTTTCACAAACACAATCCTGAGGACCGAAGAAGAAATTGAGCGCGGTAGTTCGACTGTTAGCTTTACCGCTGTTTGGCTTTCTGATTAGTTATTTTAGGTTTTGTCGGATAGTTTTGAAACTTTAACGGCACAAATATTGTATTATGACTATTTTGTGTAGTGTTCGGGGCATTTAACGGGTAACGTTAAACTTAGCGAGTATTCCCTGACAGTCGCAGTGTGTCCGCCGGGGAAATCAACACAAATTAAGGTAAAAAACAAACAAACCCCAATCTGTACATTCTTTGCTTTTGGTTTAAGTTAACGTTACTCCACGTAACAAAGGGCTAATTAAGACATTCAACGAATTATTACGAGGCTGTGTTGTATTCGGCATATGATTCAATACATCAAACAGTACCTCCCCGCCCACACACAAAATTTCCATCACAGATATTATGTATAACACTGTGAACTTTAAAATGTTATTAATACAAAGTGTGTTTACAGAGTTACACGAAACACCCACTTACACGTTCAGGCACATTAAACCTCAGTTCTAGATATCTGTCTAAAGTTTTATGTAACGTTGATGCCAATGCGCTGATAAGTTTGCAATGTTCTGTTTAGCGAAAGTGGCACTAGTGAACTGAAATTGATAGAATTTTGAGTAGAGTTTGGTTTAACATCAGCGGCTGCTCGTTTAACCCCCAGGAGTTAAACTCTGTGTTAATAACTGTAGTTGTTAACTTACAATTGCGATAAAGGAGTACTAATAGTATCAAAACGTGTTAATTTAGATATTTGTCGACTCGACTTTCGTAATTACAGTGGCGGAATGCTCCTGAGTACACGTATTAAAACTGTTTTGAGGTACTTGTACTTAAGTGTTTCCTTTGTTACAGAGGAGTTGTGTTGAATTGCAATAGACTGTACAAGTGTAACTAATAGAGTGTCCACTGTGTGCATATAAAATGTAAAACTTGACAGCGAGGACTTGTATACCTTTTAAGTACATTTGCTGCTAATACTCTTGTGCTTTAGTTTGAATGCAGTACTTTTACTTGTAGTGGAGTATTTTACATAGTGGCTGACCTATATGGGTCTTTCAGTGGATGATGCCGATTTTTTTTAGAGAGCAGGGAGGCCAATGGCCGATACACAGCGATCAGCCACAACATTATGACCACCTGCCTAACACTGTTTACATAGGAGGCCCTGCGGCAGGCGGCCGGGCCCTGTG